GTTACTGCTGCTATGTATGAACAACCACTCCAGAACTTAAGAACTCAAGACAACAAACATTTATTTTGCTCACAAATCTGCAACTTGAGCTGGGCAAGTGGGGAAGACTGTCTCTAGCACTACTAGCTGGGGCAGCTCGAAGGGTCCATTTCCAACATGGCACATCCACATGGGTGGCCACTTGGAGCTGGCTGTCAGCTTGTGAGCTCAGCCAGGGCTGAGACCCAGCAGCCATGGTTCTTCGCCCTAGGGGCTTTTTCACAGGCTGCCAGCTTCTTCACAGCATGGCCATGGCTGGGTGCTAACAGTGAGCATCCTGAGACATAAGAAGGAGAAGCTGCCAGTTCGTGGAGCCTACGCCCAGAAACGGGCATCACATCAATTTCTTTTGATTAACACATTCTAATAGCTTAGCAACTCACAGAACCAAGATTCCAGGAGAAGGGCACATATGGCCATCTTTCTCTTGGAAGAGAGTCAAAGAACTTGGGGCATGTGGTTCTAAATTGCCACAACTTCCTCCAAGAAGTACTCCCTGGCCCCATTTCAGCCAAACTCCGTTTTTTTTTTTTTTATAGTAAAGAGCTTCTTTTTTTTTTTTTTTTAAGATTTTATTTATTTATTTGAGAGAGAGAGAATGAAAGATAGAGAGCACGAGAGGGAAGAGGGTCAGAGGGAGAAGCAGACTCCCTGCTGAGCAGGGAGCCCAATGTGGGACTCGATCCCGGGACTCCAGGATCATGACCTGAGCCAAAGGCAGTCGCTTAACCAACTGAGCCACCCAGGCACCCTCAAACTCCCTATTTTGTGCTATTGAAGAACCATACACTCTTCCACTCAGCCTCATCACAACTGCATGTTTGGTTATGCCCGTTTCTACCCCTAGACTCTAAGCTTCAGAGGGGAGAGGCTGGGTCTGTCTCATTCATTGCTATGTCCATCGCCTCCAGCCATCCAGAGATGTTCAATAAATCCAGGCAGAAATGAATGAACCAGGGAACCTGTTAATGAGTCAATCAATGAAGGTACTTAGACTGAGGCTCAGAAACTAAAAGGCCCTAAGGGAATTCACACGTAGCAGGAAGGAATAAGGCTGATGAGGAGTGAGAAGCCAGGGGTGCATGAGTCTCAGGCAACCCGCTGAGAAGCCCACACCACGTGTAAAGTGGGCAAGGACCTTGATTTGGGCCCCACCTGACTCTAGCTAGCCAGAACACAGGCCCAGAGTGGCAACAGTTTTCGTTTTCAGAGCCAAAACCTCTCCATTTTTTTTTTTTAGGATACATCTATAATTGTATTACAAAACCATTCTTTTGGCATTAGTTGGTTACAGTGATAGCAAGATACTGTGAGTGTGGCAGAGCAGCTCTAATGTAACACTGCATTCCCTGCTTCCTGAACCCAAATTTAAGTTACCTTATACCCATTACATACAAGTTACCAGCGTTTATTAATGCTGCAAATCCTGACGCATATTCCCTTTAGGGAGGAGCTGATGCTAAGGGATTAGAGTAAATGTTGATAAGTCTACAAAAGTTCCTTCATGGGACTTTCTGTTTCTTCACCCTCCCCCCAAATTACTTTGCTTTAAAAGAATCAAATTACTAGTCTGAATAGCAGCAGCACCCAAGGAGCATCACACTTAGTTCTTGTTAAAAAGCAATGCACGTTTTACACCACAGGCAAAGGGAATGATCGCTTTAGTTTTAAACTCCTGCATTAGAGTCTCTTAAAAAAATAAAAGCATTCCATCGAGTTCTTCCAGATGGTGTTATTGCTGTACATTTGTTGGTGGGTCACTCTCTGTGCTGTGTTTGCTTTGAAGGGATCTTCCAATATATCTCCAATATTCTTTTCTTATAGCGTCCTTTTCTTTAGCTAGAATTTCACACAACTCTAATGCTTTATTAAGAATGTCCTCCTTGTTGTCACATTGGTTTTCTAGCATGTCTTCATAGATATCCACGAGAAAGGCAATTAGGTAGGGGGAACTGTGACTTGGTTGTAAATCAAGTAACTGATTTAACAGATTTGGATATTTGGAAAGACCACGATCCTGTAAAATCCCTTTCAAATAGTTCCATGCACTTTCATTATGTGGTACTAATTTGATCATTTCTAGAGTGTACTGGACTTCTCTCTCCAATATAGCACGATCATTGTAGCCAGTGGTGTTAGAAATTACGAAGTATCTTTGGTTCCAGAGTTATTTCTCACATCCTCTTTAAGAAGTTGGTTTACATACTGCAGCTTATTATCCCAAAGTTTAAATTCCTGAATAACCCACTGTCGATGTTGCCAGGCATGATAATTCTTTGCATCCTGATTAAGAATATCAGCAATAAATTCAAGCTCCTGAGATGGATCTTTTAGCCATTCCACTAATACTCGCCTATGATGCCAAACTTGATAGTTTTTGGGCTGTTCCTCAATTATTGCAGTGATGTAGTTCATTTCCTCATGTAGATCCTTTTGAAGTGACTTTAAGAGAACTCTCCGAAAATGCCACACTGTATAATTGGCTGCATTTAACTCAATAGCATCCCTGGTTAGTTTAAAAGCTCGTTCACTTCTTTCATCACGCTGCAGGACAGCCCGGAAATAATCATAAACATCTCTAAATTTTTCCCTATAAATGATCTGGACCACTGGATTGGGGCCATCATTCTGCGGCACTGGATCTATATCAGCCCATTCTGCTCTGTCCCCGTACAGGACATAGGTGGGCGAGTCCAGGCTCAGGAACCCGTCGTCCATAGGGGACGCCACCGCTTCTCCGGGCTCAGCCGCCGTAGCTTCTTCCTGCTGCTGCTGGGGCGGCGGAGGGTGCGGCTGGGGCGGTGGCGGCTCCGGCTGACCGGACGCGCTGCCCTGCGCAGCCTCTCCGACCCCCTCAGTGGCCGCCATCTCGCCTCGGTCCGCAACCAAAACCTCTCCATTTTTATGTGAACTCTCCCAGTTTTAAAATACAATTGATCCAATTACACACACAGTAGGCTTCTTAAAATGTGTCTGCAGGCTAGATTTGGTCATGGGCAAAACAATATATATCCTACGACTCAGGCCTGCTAGAAAGAAAAAAAAAAACTATTTTCTATAACTGAAATGACTTGCTCCATAATGGTGGAGAAAAAAAAAATTTAATATGGTATTAAATGTAACTTACTCTGTTTCATTTTGAAACAGTCTTTTTCCGGTAAACGTCCAGTGGTTTCATAGATGAACTGCCTGTCTGGGCTATGTCTCCCTTCTCTAAGCAAGCCCCCTCCTCCCCTTTCCCAGATGGTGTCTGGCTTGGGAGGAAGCTTCCATATTCTCTACGGGGCAGAGCATGGGGCTCTGGTTTCCCGTAGCAGCCTGCCTGGTGGCTGTGGAGGTATGACTGGTTGTGGCTGATCTTTGGGGACACGCCTTGTGCCCATTTCTAAAGTTTAAGGCCCCCACATTTTATGGCTGATTCGGCCAGCCAACTAGTCAGCAGTCTGTAGAGTTGGATGAAGCCTCTTTAAGGAAAAGACGGGAAACAGGAACCACAAACTCCAGGCAGTTCCTTGGCTTTGGCTCATACCCTCATTGCTACTTTTCACCGTCCCCATGGCCAGGACCCCATGGCCAGGCTGAAGCCACCTTCCTCTCTCAGGCTGGAATTATTGCAATACCCCTAACGGGTGTCCTTGTCTCTGTCCTTGCCCTCCCCCCCCACCACAGACCATTTTCTTTTTTTTTTTTTTTAAAGATTTTATTTATTTATTTGACAGAGAGAGACACAGCGCGAGAGGGAACACAAGCAGGGGGAGTGGGAGAGGGAGAAGCAGGCTTCCCGCGGAGCAGGGAGCCCGATGCGGGGCTCGATCCCAGGACCCTGGGATCATGACCTGAGCCGAAGGCAGCCGCTCAACGACTGAGCCACCCAGGCGCCCCCCCAGACCATTTTCAAAACAGTGGCCAGAAGGATCCTTTCTGAATGCTAGTCAGACGCATCTTCTCTCAGCTCAAAATCCTTTACTCCCATTTAGCGAAAAGGCCCAAGTCCCCGTGGTGGTCTGCAAGGCCCCTGTTTTCTCCCTTCCCTTCTCCCCCTCACCTCCCGCTGTCTCTGAAACACAGCTCCACTTCAGGACATTTGTACCCACTGTTCCCTCTATCCAGAATGCGCTGCCCCAAGACATCTGTGTGCCTCACTCCCTTATACTCTGCGGATTTTTTTATCAAATGTCACTTTTTCAGGGATACTGCCCCTCATCACCCTATTTAAAATTGCAACTCCCAGCCATCCCAGCCCTTCTGAACTCTCTCTGTTTGTTATTCCCCAGAGCATGTCTCATGCAAACTCCAGCCCATGGGCCATATCCAGCCCCTAGGCTGGTTTTATAAATAAAGTTTTATTGGAATACTTACATTTACATATTGTTTCCACATGTCCATGGCTGCTTTCATTCTACTAAGTAGTTGCGACATAGACTGCATGTCCGACAAAGTCATACATATTTGTCTGGCCCTTTCAGAAAACATACCCCAGCCCTAATCTTTGTTAATATACCACAGCATTTCCCCGTTTATCTTGTTAATTCTCTTTGTTCCTCCACTAGAATATGCGCTCCATGAGAGCAGAGGTTTTTATATGATCTGTCCACTGCCTGCATCTAGAAGCCTCCTCATCCCTTGAGCCAGAATTATTGCCTGGAACATAGTAGGTGCCCAATCATATCTTCCAAATAAACCCTGGCAAAAGAAGAAGGTATTTGAAACTGCTGCTCCTTGGGGTGCCCGGGTGGCTCAGTCGGTTAAGCATCTGCCTTCGGCTCAGGTCATGAGGGATCGAGACCCGCAGCATCAGGCTCCCTGCTCAGCGGGGAGTCTGCTTCTCCCTCTCCCTCTGCTCCTCCCCTGGTTTGTGTGCTTCCGCGTACGCTCTCTCTCAAATAAATAAATTAAATTAAAAAAAAACAAGCCTGCTGCTCCTTGCTCACTCTGTTTCTCTCTTTCTCCTTCTCCTCCAGCACATACAATGACGAGAAGGTTAAGAAGGTGGGCGCTGGAGTCATTTGCCCATTTACCCCCGCGCACAGCTGCATCATCTTGCCCTCGCTACCTGAGGCTCATGTGTAAGTAGTCCCTCCTCTGGCTTGTCTGCCTTGCTAGCTTATCAACTGAAGCCAAGGTAAAATGACTCAAGGAGCTAACAATGCATTGGGAACTATTGAGCTGTTCCTTTGTCCTCCTGAAAGGGACATAGAGCCTGGAGCTGGCAACGCTATCTGGCATATAAAAATAACAGAAAGCAGACACGGTGCTTTAGAGCTAAGTGGCAAATCAGCTGGGACTGAGTCATTCCGTTCCTTACCAAGCCAGACGCTCTAATGTCAAATAGTTTGCAAAGCCTGATAAAATCCGTCTGCAGCCCTCACTGAGCGTGGGCATGGTTTTTGGGAAAAACATGTCCCCCAAACTCAAGGAGCTATTTCCCAGAGAAGCACCTGTTGTCTCCTGACCCGAGGCATGAACTCATCATTGCATGGTGTAACAGGGGCTAATCAACTTTCCAAAGAACACTCTGGCTTTCTAAAACCTTGGCATCTTGTTCCCCTTGTGTCTATTCCAAAGAATTCCAAACCCAATGTTTTCTTTTGTGCTAGTTAGCACTTTTCGACTGGAAGATTTCAGGCGCAAAGACAGAAGCTTTTGACTTTAGGGCAGGGTTTCTCAACCTCAACACTATTGACATTTGGGGATGAATAAATTTTTTGTTGTGAAGGACTGTCTTGTGTATTGTAAGGTGTTTGGAAGATCCCTGGCCTCTACCCACTAGATGCCAGTAGCTTCCCACCCCCAAGTTGTGACAACCAAAAATGTCTCCAGATGTTGACAAATGGCCCCTGGGGGCAAAATCATGCCCACCCGCTTCCCCCCACCTCCTGTTAAGACCTACTGCTTTAGGGCAATGAAAATGATGCAATGGATTGTAGACTTCTCTGTCTGCTGATCTGTCAAATATTTATTAGGTCCCTACAGTATGCACAGTAAGAATGGCATTACTGGCATGACTTTACATGGCATGTAGTCATGCCATTACATGGCATGACTTCTCTGTAGGCATATCTCATTCAGTTCTCTCAGCAGCCCTATTATATAGATGTATTATTACCTGCCTCTGCAGATGAGAAAGCAGCAATCAGAGAGGTGTGCCCCTCTGCCCAAAGTCACGGAGCTCAGCATGTTGCTGCGCTGGGGTTTTGAGCCAAGTCTGTCTGACTTCACAGCCCAAACGCTCATCACCATGCACTACACCGAAAGCATATCCCAAAGCCTTGCCTTTGAGGAGCTCATGATGTATTTGGAAAGCCAAGTCTCATGTACTTGAAGAGTAAAACAATGCAGCAGCAGCAGCAGCATCAATATCCCTCCCTAATATTCCAGCTTTTCATGAGCTCACTCCCTACTTTCCTCCTACTTCCCTTTGATTGACATTATGATTGGATTCTTGATAGAGATCGCCTGAACTCTTGATAGAGAAATCTGATTGATTTGTTCAGGGACATTCCAACTGGCAACCTAAACTTGATGTTCTTAAAACATCTCCTTGCAAAAATAGGCTTTGCAACTTCTCATCATGTCCCTTGGAAACACTTGCACTTTTGTCTGTCTTTCCCGTGGACAAATCTTGGGAAACCAAATGGTGTAGATCAGTGGTTCTTAAGCCTTCACTTGGCATGTGAATCCTCCGAGGACGGAAATGGGGATGATGCCTGAAAAATGCTTATTCCTGGGCCCCACCCTCTATTCATTTGGTCTGAACAAGGTGAGGCTTAAATCAACCTCAGAAGTAACTGGAGAGTTTCTTACTCATGTACCTTCAATGCCAGATAAGGGAACTGAAGCCCAGAGGGGGGGGCAGAACCTGCCAAAATTCTTCCAACAGGAACTCTGACTTCCTCACTCCTAAATCAGATCTTTACACCAGGTTTGTGAGGTAGGCCAGGATGATGATGATGATGATGACGATGATGATCACAGTGGTTGTTTTTGGTTTCTGTTATACCCTAGACCAGGGGTCAGCAGACATTTTCCTAAAGGGACAGACAGTAAATATTTTAGACTTTGCAGACCAGATGGCCTTTCTTACAACTACTTAACTTTGCCGTTGCAGCATGAAAGCGGCAATGAATGGACGTGGCTGTGTTCCAATAAAGTTTTATTTGCAAATAGGCAGTAGCCCCCACTGGCTATAGTTTGCTAACGCTGCCCTTTCTTCTCCTTGTCTGTTAAAAGGCTCTGGCTGCATTTGGTGAGTGTATCAGTCATTTATTGCTGTATTACTGAATACCTCAAAATGGACTTGCTTAAAACAATAACCATTTTTTGCTGCTCACAAGTCTACAGGTCAGCTGGGTGGTTCTGCTGGTCTGGGTTGGCTTGGCTAATCCTGGCTGGGTTGGTGCATGTATGTGTGCCCAGATGATGGGTATGCACAAGGCCAGCGGTCTAGGGTGGCATCACTTACAGGTCTGTTAGTTGACTGGTTGCTAGGGTGACAAGAGTGACGGGGCCACGTGTTTCTCATCATGTAGCAGGCTAGCCTGGGCAGTTGGGAAGGGTTCCAAAAACAAGAGCCTGAGCACCAAAGTCTCTTGAGGCTTAGGCTCAGAATGGACACAATGAAGCTTCTACCACATTCTACTGGCCAAAGCATCAAGCCAGCCCAGATACAAGGAATGGGGAAAAGATTCCACCTCTTGATGGGGAAGATGCAAAGTCACATTGCAAAGTGTATGGATGCAGGAAAGGACATTTTTGTAATCAGTCTACCAAAAGGCATCAGGGCAGGGCATGCCTGCTCAGTTCTCAAATCCTCAGTTATCACATCAGCCCATGTGGATCAGAGCCTGGTTGGTCCCTTCACTCCAAGGTAATTGAGCCCCAAACTGGCTGAATATTCTGGATTGACCGTATGGGGATCAATTCAATCATGTCAAGGGAGACTTGTTCTTCATCTATAAAAAGGTGGGGGGATGGTCTTTAGACATGAGAAAGAGCTCCTCCTTTCCTCTCTGAGATGACAGGCTGCCCCTCCCAGCCTTCCCTAAGCAACGGAACAGCAGGAGCAGTGCCTGCAACCTGTCCAGGGCTGTCCTTGGCAGTTGGCATGGGGTGCTTGAAATGGCTTTGTAGGCATTTTCCAACTTCTCTTTGTAAAAGCACAAAATGTTTTCTTCTCGGGGAATTTTTCGCCCACTCGTATTCTGGCTGGTATGGCAGTTTCAATAGAGTGGGCTATTCAGGTGTGCTCACCTGGAGTTCTGGATGCAAGGATAAATGCCCTCTCTTTTAATTTGGTAAAATCCAAAATACTGTGCTATGACCTGACATACAATCATTATGAGAAAGTACTGATTTCTGTCAAGCATGTCTCCAGGGATTTTCTTTCTTTCTTTTTTTTTTTCCTCCAGTTTATTTTACTGCACATTAGATGAACAGTTGTCAGGTTTGAGGCACTTCTTCTTTTCTTTTTTTTTAGAACAGTCCTAGGTTCAGAGCAAAAGTGTGTAGAAGATACAGAAATTCCCATTACAACCCCTGCCCCATCTGTGCTCAGCCTCGCCCATTAATCAACATCCCCACCAGAGGGGTGTGGTTGTTACAAAAAAATGACATTGACAACATCATCAGCCAAAGTCCATAGTTTACATCAGGACTCACTCGGAGCTGTGCGTTCTGTTGGTTTGGACAGATGTATAAGGGCATGCATCCACCGTCATAGTGCGATACAGAGTATTCTCACAGCCCTAAAAACCCTCTATGCTCCACCTGTTCATCCCTCCCTCCCCACACGACCTTAGCAACCACCGATCTTTTTACCATCTCCATAGTTTTGTCTTTTTAAGAATGTCACACAGTCAGAATCACATATTATGTAGCCTTTTCAGGTTGGCTTCTTTCACTTAGTCATATGCATTTCGGGTTCCTCCATGTCTTTTCATGGCTTGATAGCTCATTTCTTGTTAGCACTGAATATTCTATTGTCTGGGTGTATGTACCACAGATTATTTATCCCTCCACCTACTAAAGGACATCTTGGCTATTTCCAAGTTTTGGCAATTATGAATAAAGCTGCTATATATAAGCACCTTGTGCAGGTTTTTGTGAGGCACTTCTTATAAATAGAGAATAAAGTCCAGACCCATTGGACGAAACCGTGTTCTAGTGCAGAGGGAGGGCTCTCCCTGGTAACAAGAGACAACTTCAATATCACAGATAAAGCACAGATTCAGAAACCAGACTGCCTGGGCTAAGATTCAAGCTCTGCCATTTGCTGGCTCTTTTGAATTTGGACAAGTTACGTGGCCTCAGTTTCCTTATCTGCAAAATGGAGATATCAGTAGTACTTTCCTCACAGGGATGACCTTAGTCAACATATGTAGAGCACTTAACACAGAGTCTGCTGGCACAGTGTAAATGCTCCGTGGGACGTGTTTGCTATTATTATTTTGTTGTTGTTAACTACTCTTCATTATCTCAGTGGTTCTGCAAATGAGAATTTTGCCCAAGTTATCAGCTCCAGAAAATGTCAGATTTGAACCAGTTCACTACCACCACCTTCCATTCCGGAGCCAGTAATATACTGAGCCTACTCTGTGCCCAGCAGTAACCTGCAGTGGGCAAGACTCTGTAGCTTGCAGGCTCGTGGGCTAGAGAGACAAGTAAACGGGTATTTACAATAGAGCGGGGACTGGGAATGTAGGGGCAAAGAGATATGCTATAAAGATGGGATGCTTTAGGATGCTGAAAGAGATCCTAACCCAGACCCTGGAGAAATCAAGGAAGGCTTCCTGGTGGAGGTGACATCTGAGCTGAGAGGCAGAGAAGGAGGAGGAAGAGGAATATATATATCAGAGCAGAGAACAGTCCCAACCACCTCTTCTCACCCTCACTCTAACAATTCCTGCCATTTTATAGACGAGGAAAGTGAGGCTCGGGGAAGTTAAGTAATTTAGCCAAGAGCACATAGCTAGTGGGTGGCAAAGCTTGGATTTTAACTTAGGCAGTGCAAAGTGAGAGTGGGGTGAGCCTGAGCAACCGAGTAGAGCTTGCCCAGGCTGCAGAAGGCAGAAGAGGGGCCATGGGGAGACTCAAGGCTGGTGAGGCGGACAGGACTCTCACAGGTGACAGTCTGTTAGTTTCCCAGGGCTGCCACATCAAAATGCTTCCACAGGAGAAATACATTTTCTCATTGTTCCTGAGGCTGGAAGTCCAAGATCAAGATGTCAGCAGGAAAAAAAATGTCAGCAGGGTTGGTTTCTTCTGAGGCCTCCGTCTCCCTGAGTCCTCACATGGTCTTTCCTTCCAGCATGTGCATCACTGGTGTCTCTCTGTGTGTCCAAATTTCCTCTTCTCAAGAGGAACACCAGTCAGACCAGATTAGGGCCCACCCTAGTTAGGGCGTCATTTTAATACAATCACCACTTCAAAGCCCTTGTCTCCAAATATGGGTTCATTCTGAGGTCCCTGGGGGGTGAGGACTTCCACATCTGAATTTTGAGGGGGACACAATTTAGCCCAAAACAGATGGTGTGGAGAGTTTGAAGATTTTAAGCAAGGGAGGGATAGAGTCAGGTTTATGCCTGAGCTTGTCACCTGTAGAAATGAATCTGATGCTCCCATGCCCCACATCCCCATCCCCACCATGACCAAGCAGACCCCACCTCACCAATTAACCCTCTTTGCTTATCCCTTCCTCCCAGCCTCCACCCCACACAACCCACAGCCCAGGCTGACAGGGGCTCTCCATGGTGACCAGAAGAGGGGACATGTCCCTGGGCCTTTTGCAATGTCCTGGGTTATGGTGAGGGTAACGTGGGGTGCCAGGCACATGGCAGGAACTAGCTGTTGCTCTTGGCGAAACGCTGGACATGGCCCAGTGCTCAGAGCTGCTGAAATGCACCTGTAAGGACCGAGGTGGTGCTAAGGCGGAAGGCAGACCAGAATGTGAAGGGCTATGGGCTTGCAGTACCTTTAAATTAGAAATGAGGGAAGAGTAGGTGTTAGTAAATAATGTGTGGAAAGAAAGGAGGAAGAAAGGGCTCCAGTGCAGAAGAAAGAGAGAGCTGATGACCCTGGTTTTCCTAAGACCCAATGGGCATGGCCAGCCTGGAGGGGAGTGAGGGGTGGGGTAGTAGGGGAAGCTCTGCTTCAAGCTGAGAAAAAGGGACGCCTCTCAAGGGATTCACCGGGACAAACCTGGGGTCAGCTCCACACTTGGGCTCCACCTCCTGGAGTGGGGCCTTCCTGGAAGCAGAGAGGGTGGATCCCTTCCTGCCCCTCCGCACATCAGACCCAGGAACTCTAGGGATTATTGATCAAGATGAACTTCAGAGAAGAGCAATTACACAGGTTCATAATGGAGGCATTTCACCCATTAGTGTAAGAGGAGAGATCATGCAGGGAGGGGGTGGCCGGTCAGGACTCCACCTTGTTTCCAGAAAAAATGCAGGCAGCAGGTTAACCCTCTCTTGGCCCCACGCCCCAGGTGACCACTGCATCGCCTTCATCAGCACCTCAGACAGAGCTGGGGCCCATGAAAGCACAGCTTCTGGGGTTAAACAGGGCTTCAGATCCTCACCAATCCTAGGAATGTGACCTTGAGCAACTTCCCTACCTAAGTCCCTCGCCTGCAAAGAGGGCATAGTAACAGTACCCTTCCTATAGGATTGGTGGGAGCATTGAATGAGATACTCAGATCCTACCTCCATCACCAACAAGCTGTGTGACCTACTGCAAAGTGACAGTATCTCTCTGAGCCTTAAGTTTCCTCTTCTTTAAAATGTGGATAATGATTCATACCCCTGCAGGTTGTTGGGAGAATTAAATAAAGTGTGTAAGGTGCCCTACTCAAGGTCTGGCTCCCTGTAATACAAGATGCCACTCCAAATCAGAAAATACAGGTCAGATATGCTTTTATACAGTGTTTTAGTTACATTTTCAAATAATAGGTTCAATATGGTTTTCTTCAACATCCAGCTATATTTGCAGGCAAAGGACCTATAAATTTAAAACAATGGATCCAACTGTTGGTCTGGGGGTAGGAGGAAGATTACAATAAATCCAGTTTCCTTGTGTGTCCAGCCTTCTTTGACACTTTTAGCATATTTATTGTACTTTCATCAGATGAACAGGTAGGTACCTGCAGGATATGAATGTCCTTTAACCCACTCACTTTGCCTAAGTCAAGACCTCTAGCTGGGGGACCCCTCCATTGTTTCTCCTCTCCTACACAGAACCACCCCCCGGCCATGACCAGCATAGGGTGATCTCACGTCAAATCATGGCTCTGCCACCTGCTAGGTCAGCAAACTGGCACAGGTTCCTTCACTCCCCTGAGCCTCAGATTCCTCATCGGTAACATAGGCCCATGAATACCTCATGGGTACATTGCAAAGACTCGATGAGATGAGGAATAGGAAATACCATGCCTGGAGCATGGCAACATCTCTCTAACTGCAAGCCAGCAGTTCACAATCTCTGTGGCCATTATTGTGAAGGACGTAGTTCCAACAGGATCCCACTGGGCTCCCCCTTCCCACCTCTGTCTTTGCAGGGAGCCCCTCTTCCGCCAGCTCTGTGCCCTCCACTGGCTCCTGGAGGCCCTGACTATCGACCACACCCACCACATCATGAAGCCCGTGATCACCTGCTGGAATCCAAAGTAGGTCTGAGCCCTTCAACCCGCTGTAACTAGCAGCACACTCTGCCATAGGGGAGGGCCTCTTATCTGCTCTTCCCCTCCTTTTGCTGTTTTTGGTGGGTGGGTTGCTTTAGGAGTTCCCCGATGTGCTCTGTGGGATCCAGAAGGGGTGAGCTCGGAGCCATGCCACACAGGTCATATAGGCTCACGAGAGCCAACGGTGTGCATCTCCTCCCAGCAATTCTCCCCAGCTCCACATCCACTGACATCCCATTGGATGCTTGGAATCAACCAGCCACGATGGGAGTATTGACACCACAGAGACTGGCCAGGTAGACCAGCACACCGCTGGATGCCCAGCGGTTTCTGCCCAGCTCCCTTCTTGGACCCCTCCCCAACACTATTCTTTATCTGCTCCTCTTCCTCTTCCTCCTCCCACTTCCTTGTCCTCTTCTCTTTCACTTTGTTCTTGCTTTTCTTCTTTTTCCCAAGGTTTATTTGTTTGTTTGAACATATATTGGTGGCTGTTTCTCCACTTGGACCCAAGAGAGGACTCAGTGCTCAGGTCCCTGGAGTAGCTGGGCCGAAGCTCTAGTGCATGCTGTCTAGGCCAAGAAGAGTGTTACGTGTGTCCTCACCAGAGGGGAGGGTTCATGCAAAAGCCCTGAGGCCACTGCTGCAGGAGCTGCATTGCCCACACAGGGGCGAATGAGGAACAGGCAGGCATATAAGGCCTTGGTTCTTTATGGAGAGTCCTGCTGCCCCCAAGAATGGTGCTAAAGGGGAAGGGACCCTGACCTGAGGAACTGGAGTTGCTCTGTGAAAATCCCATGCTGAATGAAGTAAAATAGTTCCCCTTCTCCCATAAGTGGGAACCCCCACAACTCCCTCCCCAATAAACTGATAATGGCCTCTTTCTCACAGCCCCACCCACCCCCCAGGTGAATTCAGTCTTCCTTTTCTTCCTGAATCTTAATTAATTCCTTCTTCCTGAGGGTGTTCACCACCCACCTCCCAAACCCCACCCTACCCCCTGCTCTAATTCATCCCTTGCACCAGAGCCCAGATAAACTAACATCAAATGCAACCAGAAATATAAATCCTGCATCTACTGATAGACTAGTAACTCCAACTGATTTCATGTTTTGGGTTGGGATGAACTGAAAATTGTAGTTTCCCTTGGTGCTCTGGTTTATAACCTTTTTTTTTTTTTAAGCAGCAGAAATCCTTTTTTTTTTTTTAATGGAAACCCCAATAATGTAAAACAAATTGGTTAAAATGTAGCTTCTACACAAAGCAGGAAGTTGGGAGGCCTGGAGAACCTGGGGCACCTCCAACTCTCTCCCATCCCCACCAAGGCACCCCAGTTATTTCCAAAATATTTCTGTGGTTCACAGAATTTGTTTGAAAACCACAACCTTAAGACATTTCCCATACATCACTTATTCTTCTTAGAGGAAGCCCCTTTTAAAGGTCTGAGGTATGACCTTCCTCCTTCCAGACCTAATGCTTTCCCCTTATGAATATATATAGATATACTCCCCCCACTTTTTTTTAACAGAATTGGGATCATATTCTGAATATTGTTCTGTACATTTTTCTACTTCCCCCCCTTTTTTTTTAAAGATTTTATTTTATTTGACAGAGAGATAGAGAGCACAAGTAAGCAGAGAGGCAGGCAGAGAGGGAGAAGCAGGCTCTCCGCTGAGCAGGGAGCCTGACGTGGGGCTTGATCCCAGGACCCCAGGATCATGACCTGAGCCGAAGGCAGCCGCTTAACCGACTAAGCCACCCAGGCGCCCCTACTTTTCCCCCTTTAAAAATATCTTATGGGGGTACCTGGGTAGCTGAGTCAGTTAAGCATCTGGCTCTTGATTTTGGCTCAGGTCATGATCTCAGGGTTGTGAGACTGAGCCCCACATAGGACTCCACACTCAACAAGGAGTCTGCTTAAGATTCTCTCTCTCCCTCTGCCCCTCCTCCCATTCTCTCTCTCTCTCTCTCTCTCTCTCTCTCAAATAAATAAATAAATCTTTAAAAATAAGATAAAATATCTTATGGACATCTTTCCATGATGGTACATACAAAGTTTCTATGTTCTTTTGACAGTTTCCACCATCCTTTAACAGAATACATTCCCTCAGAAAGAAATGGTTATCCATGGTCTATGGTAGGGGTGGACCATAATTTAGATAACCATTTCTCTACTGGGGGACACTAAGGTTGTTCCCAAGTGTTTGCCATTTCAAGTAGTATGGCACAGAACATCCTTATACGTACATTTTGTACCCGGTTGAAAATATCTCTGTTGGCTAGATTCTGAGAAATGGAATTTTTAGGTCAAGGCAACGTCTATTTTTTTTTTCACAGTTGATTGCTTAGATTCTAAGAAAAAAGTCCCTCAGCCAGTGGACTTCTAATAGCATTTCATCTCCCCGATCTCCCAGCAGCAACACTTTGCTGCCAACATTTGGCATTCGTTCTCCCAAACTGCGGCAAGAATATAATGTAGGATTTGGATCGAGAAGATAAAAAGAAGCATCTTTATTTCTTTAGGTTGGTTTTAGAAATGTGCCCAGAATGTGACCAAAAACTGTTACCTGTGGTTAAAAAAAAAAAAAAAAAAAAAGACACATGGTCACATTGAGAGTAGTGGAGTTCATCAGGGATCCATGGATATCCGGCTCTATCAGAGCAGAACCTGAACCAGAACCTCAGCCTGACAGAAAAATGCATCCAGAAAGATTCCCATGGGAAGTCAGAGTATTTGCTGGGGCTTGTTTTTTCTAGTGAACCATGTGATTTTAGTTTGGTGGTATGCTGGTAAATGTTTAATAAATGTTTACTAAACAGAACAGTTCTCCAAGAAGGAAAAGCCATGACATATAACAATGCCAATTTCCATGGTGGACATAATCCAGCCATGGCTGATTTCAGGCTTACCAACATGAACCTGGGGCTGGGGACAGATGCACACGTTCAGTTCTTGTGAGCCAGCATAAGCCAACTCCAGCACACCATTCTGGGGGATTGATTTTTTTTTTTAATATATAAATCTGAGGGTGGGGGTTGGGCAGGGGCTTAGGTTTCCTAGAAAGTGCCAGAAAACATCTTTTTATTTAGCAAGAAAGGAGAAGGATGTCTTGTCTTTAATGCCTAATCCCTGTTTATGATGTTTCATCCTGATATCATAATTCAAATGTCTGTAAATCTTCAAATGCATTTTTTAAAAGCCCAGAGGAACTGAAAATGAGTAGAGCAAGGGCTCTAGCATCAGATGGATCTGGATGAGTCCAGGCTCAGCCACTTGATAGCTATGTGACCTTGCTCACTTAACATCTCTGGGCCTCTGTTTCTTCATCTATCAGATGGGCTCCTGCCTCAGAAGAGTTATTGTAAGCATCAAGAAGATAAAGAATATAGAGCATTTAGCCCAGTGACTGACAGCACTGTGAGGGCTCACTGAATGACAGCTATTTAAGATTAAAATCCCCATTTCAAAAAGCAGTTGGCTTTTTGATTATCAATACCATTGAGACTTAAGGCAAGGAAAGAAACTTCTGAGCAGAGTTTTACCAACAGATGAGATCCATATTCACTGGGAGAATGAACAAACATACAAACAGACAGGAAAAAAGCTAAGCAAGGTCAACCAAGATCTGGTTGCAAAGATAAGCAATCCAGGGAATGACCCCGACAGAGAAATACCAAACTTCCAGTTTTGCTTTTCTGAGTTTCCACCATCAAGGAGCCAGCATCTCTTGCTATTCAAGCATCTGAAACACAAACCCTGAGCCCCAACACCCACCATGCATTTTCCAAAAGGAAACATCCATCATTGGGGACCTGTAGATCCCAGAGGTTTCTCTTCTATTAGGCATGATGATGGCTGCAGAGCCAACCCTGCCCCCTTACGGATTTTATAGCAAGAGAGTGGGGTGGTTCAATATCTCAACACGGGCTTTCTACAGGCAGCCAAATTTTACTAACTGACGGCTAGTGTGCCGCAAGCAGAAGGTTATCTTTGTTAATTGCAGGAAGATCCTATATTTAGCTAGTACTGGTGGATGGTTGGGTGAATGGGCAGATGACAGATTTTAGGATGTCATTAAGGGTTTCATCTGAGTCTGTGCCTTATTTGGGCAGGATAAAAGGCCTTCTCAAATTCACCACATGGCAATCCGAACACATTATCATTTCCCAGCATCCTTATTAATCCCATGGCTAGCAGGGAGAATTTATTTCAATTGACAAGATGATTGGGTCCACGAGAGAGCAGAAACTGAGCTTTCAATAACAAATGTGCTAATTGCCCTTCTCTGGGAGATGCAAGCCTCTGTTTCAGCGAAGTAAGACTTATTTTATATATAAAGGTACCCAAGTCTTTATCTGAAACTTTGGGGCCACCTGAGTTTCAAAATTGCTTTTTTTTCTTTCTTTCTTGGCATTTTAAAAACGAAATATGGAGCATACGCTATAGAAAACATCACACCCCCAGAGGGGACTGGGGCAGCAGACTATCATCCAACACAGTATTTCCACAGGGAAAAAAAATGAATATTTACACTAAGTGCATAATAAAGATAAATAAAAGTCATTGGTAGCCTCCCATCAGTTCAGGTCATGTTTTGCTGCCAAATCAGTTATTAAACTTTTTCTGGTTTTTCAACACCCTTTGGATTTTAGAATTGGATAAGGGGTTAGGAGCTTATATTGGTATTGGGGTTTTTTTTAGAGACTAACTTTCCAAGGAATGACTAGAAGTGAATGACAAGAGAAGCAGACAAGATGAGGTGTAAGCAAGCACCTCTCCACCCCAATTCCACTTACCCCCAGGCCTGCCGTCACCTTCCCTAGTTCCCATTGGAAAGAACCAGGCAGACCCCTGGCTAGGCAGGAGAGTAAGGAGCTCCTGATTTACCTTCCAGGCAAGGAATAGCATACACCACGGGGCAAAGGTGTGAGGAGTTGTCCCCTGGGCAGCACAATCATCTATGTCCTATTGCCTAGGGCTGTCCCAGAGAGAGATCACCGCACCCACTCTTAACTGGGGAGTCCAGGTGGGTATAATCCTGGCTTTCATTAAAGGAGTCCAGACACCCAAGGGCCGGGCTGTCCAGGCACAATGAAACTGCTATTTCTTTAGAAAAACATGTATGGCTAAAAGGCAACCATACTCTGACATTCCACATAGGACACAGGCACCTAAATCTAACTACTGTATTATGATGAAAATAGCTGGCCTATGAATGCTTCCCATGTCAAGCACTGCTCTGAGTATATTACTTCAGTTGAGCCTCATTCTAATGGAAGAGGAACCTGAGGCACAGAAAACTTAAGTAACTTGCTCAAAATTGCATAGCTTGTAAAAGCTAAGTCAGGATTGGAATTCAGGTAGCCCAGCTGCAAAGCCTATGTGCTTAACCACTAAATGATGGTTTCTTCTGCCCCCAGCGAAAGCCCAAAAGTCTTCAATTAATTTAGGGTACCATGTGGTGTCCAAAAATGAAAAGAATAACTCATCACAAAGTACTATTTGCCAGGCAACCTCAGGATACACAAGGGACTGCAACCTACCAAGATAATGATATGTGCATATACAATTTTCTTTTAAAAAGCAACAAAAAAAAGGCCACTCTATACTTAGGGCTTTGGTATTTAACTTAATATATGGGAACCAAGTCTCCATTTTGAAACCTCTTTCAATGACTATGGCGTGTCTCACCATATTTAACCAATTCCTGTAAGAACTTTTAATTTGCCAGATTACCAATCTTCTGGGGGAAGAATGCAGCATCACTCCGAACAACACACAAAAATAGCAATTATTATATTGAAGTTTTTTTTTCCTCTGTCACATGTGCCCCCCACCTCAGAAACGCTCATTTTCCTCAAACCTGCTTTTTTCAGGCATTACTGGGGATACAGCAGTGAAGGGACAGACAACATCCCTATTCTCTGGAGCTTCTGTTCTAGGGGACGTGGGGAGAGCAGCAGATAATAAACATGCAATCATCAAGATGCTCTGAGGTAGCATCAAGCGTCATGAAGAAATTGATGAGGTGATGCGACAGTGGCAGGTGGGGGGTGACTTTTAAATTGGGTCATCCGGGAAAGACTCACTCAGGAGGTGACATTTGAGTGAAATCTCTGATTCCACCTGCTCTCCTCTCTGCACTGATTTAATTGCATCGTGCCTCCACTGCTTTACTCAAGAGGACATCTCTGCAGGAGTAGGGGACCGTGGCAGGATGATCAGAGCACCTGTCACGAGGGAGGCAACCCGCCTGGGAGATCCTGGGAGCTCTGGTCTCAGTCCCCTCCCTGGTGCACCATCAGCAGCTGCCTCTGTCCTCCAAACTCGGTCATGGACACATGAATGCATTCTAAACCAGCCAACAGACTTTCCACTCTGAGAAGCAGGTGTTTTACCCCAAATGAGGGTTCACAAAGAGAGAGAGGGAAGTATTGGAGAAAACAACTCTGATTGCTACTGTGGAGAGACATTTCAAGTGACTCGCCAGGAACAAAATGTGCTTGGCGGGTATAGTTAAATGAGATGCGACTGTGCTCTACGCTTTCGTCCCTTGATTTCTAGCAAATAGGACCCCCCTGCCAAAAGCTTCAGCAGGGGTAAAATTAGTCTGAAAATCGTAGCCACTCCTCCCCCACGGATCTGGCCTACTGCCTTGTTCCCCACCATCAGCCCCTCCTCCAAGCCACCCTAAGCTGTCGAAAAAAGCCCGCTGTTAATAGTTTGTGTTCAGTTCTCTGTACGAGGCACCCCGCCACACCCTTAACAAGCCCCACCCCATCCTCACACCAAGCCTCTGACGTAGCTAATATTATTCCCTCCATTTTACAGATGAGAACACCAAGGCTCTGAGAGGCAAAGTAACTTACACAGACACACACCCAGGAAACAGCAGGACGGGCACAGGACTCGAACATCCAGTCCACCTGATTCTTAAACCCCCTGTTCACCACCAACATACACTACTTTCCTGGTTCTCTTGCTCAGAGAGACTTGCCTGAGGTCACGCAAACAGTGTGTCAGGGACATTAATTAGGTAAACTAAACTGCCGATATGAACAACACGAAAATCTCAGCAGTTTAACGCAACCCAGGTTCATTTCCTGCTCACCCTACCGGTCATCAACATGGCGCTGTGCTCATTACAGTTCATGGAGGACCCAGGCTGATAGGAGCTCTGTCTCAAGGCAAGCTTCCACCATCAACAGCACAGAGAAGGGAACCTGCCTTGAGGGCTGGCCCTTCAAGCTACCACCCTCAATGCCACATGTCACTTTCACTCATGCATTCTTATTTTTTTCTAAAGATTTTATTTATTTATTTGAGAGACAGAGAGAGAGAGAGAGACGCAACGAGAGAGGGAACACAAGCAGGGGGAGAGGGAGAAGCAGGCTTAGAGAGAGACACAGCGAGAGAGGGAACACAAGCAGGGGGAGTGGGAGAGGGAGAAGCAGGCTCCCCACCGAGCAGGGAGCCCGATGCGGGGCTCGATCCCAGGACCCCGGGATCACGACCCGAGCCAAAGGCAGACACCCAACAACTGAACCACCCCAGGCGCCCCATCACAGGTGCATTTTTAAACAAAGCAAGTCACAGGGCTACTCCTGACAGAAAAGGAGCCCGAAAGACCCGGGACTACTCATTAAACAGCACTACTGACTATCCCATCAAGCCCTGGGGAGGAGTGTCCCCTTGCTGTGTCCATCTCGGACAAGGTGCACTGAGCCCCCTGTGGACAAAGAAACTCGGGTGGTTTCTTTCTTTTCCTGCCCTATCTGAGCTTCCTTTTTGGTTTATTTGCTCCTGAGAATGAAACATCACAGAGACCGATTCTGTCTAACCAGGCCCTTTCTTTATCAGTGGCTTTGCATGAGCAAGGGTGCAGGGCGTTTTTAAGATCTCGGGAACCTTGCTGTATTTTTAGCTCATTTACCTGCTGCCTTAAGTCCGCAATGGATTTTGGGTCATCTAGGAAGTCAGTGTTAACAGAAAACCTCTATCTTCCTGATCGGGCTTGAATATTTAAGATTTTGAAAGCTTGGCTGGGGCCCGATTTAATTTTAAAAGGGGAAGAGGGTTGCTTTTGAACTTCAAGAAGGAGGCTAGAGGCACAGCAGGAGCTGTGTGAGCAAAGGGAAGAAGCCGAAAAGCCCTGTGGTCTTGAAAGAAATGCTCCAAAGCAGAACCACTAAAGCTTCCAGTTGGTGAGCCTTAAATCAGACTTCAAAAGCGCCGCTAGTTTAAATATTGTTTATAGGACTGGTGTATTGCTATTCCTTCCTCTGGCTGGATTTTAAATATTCCCTAATTTGATTACTCGGGGGAGAAGCAGGCAGAACCAACGTTAAAGGAGCTTCACTGTTAATTATTCATTGGGCTTTTTATTGTGTAATCAAACATGAAGTCTTACAAAAAGCTTGGAGGCACATTCTCACCCCGCCCTCCCTAGCCCGACTTCCACTTTGCCGCCTGTGTGCGTTGCTCATGTTGTGGCTGTGGGCTGGTAGATGCTCAGCAAAGTCCTGCCATCCAAGAGTGCACACCCCCCTCCACATCTGGGCTGGCCAAAGCCTCTGATTCGGCTACCTAGAGCCCTGTGCCGTAAGAAACCAGTCTTAGGCAAGTTTGAGCTTGATCACATTTTACCTCCTGTATCTGAGCATCTCCCACCCCCTCACCAGCACTCAGCAGCCCCTGATAAGTCTAGACCCCTGTCAGCGCCTCCCCTCATGAGTCTGGTCTGGCCATCTCATTCCCTCAAGCCCCTGCTCTGTGCTAAGTGACAGCCAGCCAAATGATTTTAAGGATCCCAGCCACCCAAAATCCTTTCTGCAGAGAAAAAGGAGATAAAGAAAGGGATGGATGGATGGATGGATGGAGGGATGGATGGATGGATGGAGGGATGGATGGATGGATGGATGGATGGAGGGATGGATGGAGGGATGGATGGATGGATGGATGGATGGATGGATGGATGGACGGACGGATGGATGGATGGATGGATGGATGGACGGATGGATGGATGGACGGATCAATTGAAAGAGCACAACCTGAGTCTTCCCACTTGCTTATCAACAGAGATCCACTGCCCTGTAGCCCCAAGTCCAAAATCCAAAAGGCTCTGAAAACTCAATTTTTCCATAACTCATTTGGCAGCAAAACTTGACATGAACCCAACTGATCTGGTAGCATAATGGGACCTGAAGCTGTTCACAGGCTTTATCCCACCTAGTGTAAATATTCACATATACCAGTGTGCTTGGTTACAGGATGCTGCCCTCTGACCCCACTGGAAGGATTATGTTAACGTATGATATATGCATCATATATCCTTCCCAAAATGTCAACAGGGCAACACATCTGGTCCCACGGGTTTCAGATGAGGGATTATAGGCATGTCACCAACAAAACGTGCTGGAGGTTCAGTCTCATACCGAGAAAGTTCCCGAACCCAGGAGGGGAGGATCCAGGAATTAGGGTATCTAAAGTTTAATTAAACGGGGGCAGATAGGTGCTTTAAGAAAAAGAATATAAAATTACAACAGAAAATGAGGTACAGGGCCCCAGAAGACCCCATTCAAGTGAGGGTCATTAGTTCCACTATAAATCTGTACCTGGATGAGTGACTTGAGCCCACCCCCCGCCCAGTTTGTTCTCTCACCTGTAAAATGGAATGACAATATCACAAGGTTTTATTGAAATGATTCAGTGAGAATGCACAAAAGCATCTTGCATGTAGCACTGTATAGACTTTTGCTCGATATACTCCAAACCAGTGATTTTCATTGTGCAACCTGCCCCACAAGCTCTCCCCAGTACCTCCCCCCGCCAAGTAATCCTCTTTCTGTGTTACTTGGAAGTGTCCCTCATGGTGGGGTTGGTAGGAACCAGAGCAGGCAGAGATTCAGAAATAAACATGCCTTTCAGCTTACTCCCAGGAGTAACTGCCCTGGAGTCTAAGAGAGGACCCAAGTCTAAAAGGCAGATAGATGCAGAACACATACAAATACATTCCGCCTGCCTCCCCCCCACCTTGTAAGCAGTGGTCTCTCCTAACCTCAATTTTCACTGACAAGACCTAGCTATGGAGAACTGTCCCACTCATTTCTTGACGCACACAAGGGGCGGGGAGAAAACCATCACAGAGAACAGCCGCCATCCATCATCTATTTATTGTATTTCCTAAAAGAACTTGTAGTAAACCGAGGCTCTGGGAACAGAAAACTCATTAAGCTGTTTCTCACTCAGGGACCCGGGTGGAAGCAAGAGCACAATAAAGAAAATCAATAAGGACAAGTCCATGGGACAGAGGTGGGAGCACTTCGTCACGGCGCCGAAGGTAACTATCAGCACCCGACGCTACAGTCTGGCTACTAGCCCCAACCTGGGCCGGAGGCGTTTCTGCTGGTCTTTTCTCTGATGGGAATTTTTTTTTTTCTAGTTGGTTCTCTGAGTGAGGAGAAGTCAGAACCACATGCTGTTGGATGGTTTTTGTAAATTTTAATTAAAATGGTTATCTGGGAGATTATAGAAGAAATGACATTTGGCTGGACACCACTTCGTGGGGAAGGGGAGGGGTGGCTGAGGAGCTGCTCAATAAGATGTCACCAGAAGGAAACGGACTCACCTCACTCCAGCGTTTTTAATCAATAGCAGTCATTTCTTTCTCGAGCTCACTCTCTCTTTTTAACTCAGCCAGAAAATAAGAAGCGGGCGATTCAACGGATAGGGTTTTCTACAAACTAGAATGTGCCCTCACCACTAAAAGAACACCAAGAGGTCTATTCTTTCCACTCGAAACTATTCCTAACCCCACACTTCCCAAATTCATCTAGCCAACAAACAAGCACCATAAAATAATAAGACAAGAGGTCATGTGTAGATAGGCAAAGGTAGTTGAAAGGGCGGTTGCACCTGCGCCTTTTTACCCACAACGTGAGTATAATGCTTGGCCTTGCCTGCTTCACGACACTAGTCAAGAACCTCAGGAAACAACATGCAAACTCACTCTAAAAATGTTAAAATGCTAAGCATTATTGCTTATAATTTTTAGAAGCCACTTTTTAACATAATTGTGATGGGCCAGGGTCTATGCTGAAGAAGTGCTTTGGGATCTATTAGCTGGCTCTGCCTTCTTACAAACCCCAGGAGGCACTATTCTAATCACCAGTTGGGAGAGGAGGAAGTTGGGGCTCAGAGAGGTTAATTGATTTGCATGAGGTCACACAGCTGGGTCATGGCAGAGCCAAGAGTGAATCCTGGGCCTGTTCATGAAATGCTGTTTATTAAACACTGAGCTCATCAAATGCTTTTTTCCATGGTGTCACAATTACAATTGCCCTCATGAAGAGTTTCACTATGTTCTTGCTCTTTCACCAGGGTGTGCCTAGATCTGAGAAGGAAAAGCTTTTGTTTTTGTCACAGAAAGTTGCGATGGAGATACTATGTACATCTGTCTCCAGAGATGCACAGAAAAAGCATTAGGAGCCACAAACGTTAAAAAAAAAAAAAAAAAAATGCCCTCCAGGAATACTCCTAACAAAAATCGATGGAGGGGGCAGTGAATCACCACACTAGAACTCCCCAAAAATTGAATTCCCCAGGAAGCTTATAGGTTAAACTCAGAGCTGAAGGGTGGTCCACTCTGGTGATGGGGGAGCACTCGATTAGGAGTCAGGAGACCTAGCTTAGCCACTGTGACCCAGTTCACTGTGTGGCTTCAGACAAGTCCTTTTCTCTCTCCCTGGACTTCATTTTCTGCACCTACAAAATGAGGACTTTGAAAGAGAGGCTCCAATCAACTCCACACAGCAACTGATACCCTTCTGTACATTTAGAACTTGTCAGGGCCAAGACAGCGTTCGTGAGAGCCCAGCAAACAGAGTAAATGAAAAAAATCAGGTTCGGTCTAATGCAATAGGGAGTGGTGAGGTCTGTGGCAAATGGCCTGCACTTCTGCCCAGCTCTAGCCATTTTTGCCATTTGAGAATGGGAGTCCAGGGCTTATCGTTTTCAAGAGAGACCAATAACCTAGGTTGTTATATAAAAATCTCCCCAATTCGTAAAATTCTGGGCAGTTAATCATGTCTCCCCATGGGCCACCAGTTGGAAGCCGCTGCTTCTAAGAAAATGTAAGGAATTACTCAGGGAAATCTTTTCTTTTGTTGCCCAAAAGCAGTCCCTACCGAGGTGGAACACAGCAGCTAGTTAACACTGCTCCTGAGTGAAATCTAAAAACTAGAGAAGCAGCATTTGGGGATTTAAGTCAATTCAGACCGAGTCAGTTCAATAAAGGGCAAGCGAGAAGCTGAAACTGCCTGTCACATCATCCCCCCACATTTTATTTTTCTGCCACTCTCAATTAATCAGAAGTGTCAGTCCTTCATTTTGGATTTCCTGGCTGAGGTTAATAATTGAATTTTAATTAATGGCAACTTCAGGAGCACAAAATGAAATCCTAGCCCAAGGAAGATCCACCCGGAGCTCTGGATGTAGAAAGCTCTTCTGAGACCGTCCCAGTCCATACTCTTTGTCTTATAGGTCAGGAAACTGAGGCAGGACAGTGATTTGCTCAAGGCCCCCCTGAGGTCCCCTGGCTCTGAGTCCAGTGCTCATTGCAAGACTCCAGGCTGTCCCTGGGACACAATGTGTTCAGCCTTCAAAACACGACACGGAGCTAGAGTGTGGTTTCCAGAGTTGGAGATTCATAGGGTGCCAGAGGAGACCAGATGAGGGGACGTCCACATACATGTATTATCCCCAGCTGTGATGTCAGGACAAAGGGGACGCGGTATCAAGCTCCTAATTTATCAAAGGAGAGAACTTTGGGCGTTTGGTTTTTCTTTATCACAGTCATTCGGTAGCCCACATGCCCCCTTGGAGATCTGGGTAAACCCACCCTGTCCTTCCCCTGTGCAACCAGGAAACCCGTCCCCTCTTCCAGGGCACCGAGGTTCTACCTGCAGTCACAGCCCCACAAGGTAGCCAATCAAAAAATTACTTCTAGGGGCGCCTGGGTGGCTCAGTTGGTTAAGCATCTGACTTGGGCTCAGGTCATGATCTCAGGGTCCTGGGATGGAGCCCCACCTTGAGCTCAGCGGGGAGGCTACTTGTCTCTCTCCCTCTGCCCCTCTCCCTGCTTGTGCTTACTCTCACGCGCATGCGCACAAATAAAATAAAAAATGAAAATATTTTTAAAACAAACAAACAAACAAACAAAACCCTACTTCTGGTCACATGCAGTGGACTCCATGATATGAATCCTGCTGGAGACAATTCTCTCCACCCTGTTAGATATTTATGAGATGTTGGTGCTGCCTCTTCTCCCTACCTGCCTTCTGAGGGTATCAAAACACGATGATTGAAAGGTGACCTTAGTCCGTTCTGCAAGCGCTTTCCTTTTAAATGTTCTCCAATAGAATCGTTTCTGTTGGGCGCCTGGGTGGCTCAGTTGGTTAAGCGACTGCCTTCGGCTCCGGTCATGATCCTGGAGTCTGGGGATCGAGCCCAGCATCGGGCTCCCTGCTCAGCGGGGGGTCTGCTTCTCCCTCTGACACTCCTCCCTCTCGTTCTTTCTCTCGCAAAAAAAAAAAAAAAAAAATCTTAAAAAAAAAAAGAATCATTTCTGTTAATTGAGTGTAAACCACAGCCCAGGGCACCATTGAACTCTTATTCTAGAGCAGCTGAGGACCTACTCGGCCCCACTGTAAACCTGGCATTCCAAAAGTCAAAAAGAATCAGCAGCATGGGATCAAGGGCATTTTCAATGCCCCTGACAAGGGCATTGCTGAATGTATTTTTAAGCAAGGCATAATAATTAGTGTTGGTCTTAGCCTGACCTGGACTGGCATCCTGTCTCTGCCACTTGCTAGCTGTGTGACCTTGGGCATATTAGAACCCTCTAGAAGACTTGGATCATGAGTTAAATGAAGGCATGACCCGGCACAGTAAATCCTGAAGTGATATCAATCATGCAAGAGGGTGGTGTGAACACACACACACACCCATCCTCTCTGACTCCTTTCCTCCCAAAAGTCCACATTCTCCTTACAAGACTTTCTCTCCCTACCCCTTACTACCTTCTAGGACTTGTCATCTAGACCCTTCCATCCACCACAACCATGGCTCCTCTCCCTGCCCCCAAAGAATGCTATCCTATCAGACACATCTGCTTCCCTAAATGTCAGGTCTAGAATTTTCCCCATCTTGTACTCTTCAGAAGACCCCCGGTAAACACAAATCTTCATTCTTTGAGGGCCTGGTGTCAACGTGGTAAACAAGAAGTTGATCCATACAATTTGGGGTCAAACCAAGAGGTAGCTAGAGACACGAGACCCATCCTCCCACAGTTTAAAAAATCAACTCCGATGATCATTACAAAAGTCCAAAACTCCTCTGGTCCCTGGTAACGTCACTGGCATATGTGTTTGGCCTCCTGTGGTGACTACTTGGGCAACCACGGTGCTCACTGAATAGAATTAGTCCCATCATGTTTGCTTCAGATAATACACACTTTAAATTATCTTGATTTGTGACAGAAGGTCACCCCAGACCCAGGATATGTGTCATGGTGTTTGGGAAGAGCCAAAAGAAATTCACATTCAGAGCCAGGTTTTCACTTTTTTTCTTTCTTGCTTTCCTTGCTTCCCTCCTTTCTTCCCTCCTCCCTTTTTTCTTCTCTCTCCCTCTCTCTTTCCCTCCTATTCACCCTCTCTCCTTCCAACATTCTGTCCTCCCTCCCTTCTTTCTGAGATTCCTCTTTCTTCTCTCTTTCCTTCAGACCAAGAAATTCAAAATTCCTGTGCTCCGCGTCACCAGCCGCAAACCAAGCCGGCGAGGCTCCACACTCAGTCTGTCTCGGACCAGCGGAGGATCATCCCCTCAGAGCAGCATGGTCTCCATGAACCCTGGCTCAGATGAGCCCCCGAGTGTGATCACCCAGGCGACAGGCAGCAAGGACATTGAGGACAATGAATCATCTTCAACCAAGCCTGACGAAGAACCTCTCCACATCAGTAAGTCCTACCTGAGAGCTGACCAATCCACTTTGACTCTTTGCCTCGAAGCCAGACATCAAGAACCCCTCCTGCTCGTCCTCCACCCCCCCCACTCAGTTAAAGGAGACACAGGGGAATGATGTAATATATGGTGATTAACATAACAATAAAAAAATTAAAAAAAAAAAAAAAGGAGACACAGGGGTCCCCTAGCCCTGCTCAATTTCCTCAGTACCTTTTGCTTTCCCCCAGTGAAGACTGGAAATATACTCTATAACTTGGGATTACTCTAAGCAATTTCTCTGTGAGAGACAGCCCATGGTCATCAATTGCTCTCTTTAAAATTTTAATAATATTTTTTTCAGCCCAACTTATATAAAATATTGTCATTTCAACATGTAATCAATACAAAATTATTAATGAGGTATTTCATGTCTTTTTCATACTAAGTTTTTGAAATTTGGTATTGACTTTTTAAAACAACTTTATGGAGGTATAATTTGCATTCCATAAAATTCACTTTTTTTAAGGGTACAATTCAATGACTGTTAGTCAATTTGCAGAGTTGTGTAACTCTCACCACAATCTAATTTTAGAACATTTCAATCAAGCCAAACGAAAACCTCGTATCCACTGGCAGTCCCTCTCCTTTGCCTGACGCCAGGCAATCGTAAATCTACTTCCTGTCTCTAGGGATTTGTCTTTTCCTAGTATTTTAAATATGGAAGTTTTTTTTTAAATTTTTTTTATTGTTATGTTAATCACCATATATTACATCATTAGTTTTTGGTGCAGTGTTCCATGATTCATTGTTTGTTCATAACACCCAGTGCTCCATGCAGAAC